AGGAGGACACCGATCCCTGCTCACTCCTTCACCAGAGTGTGGCGGCCAGGGGTCCCCACTGCCTCATGCCCAGTGGTTGCATCCCCAGGAGATGTGCCTGCCACAGGGTGCCCCGTCCCTGCCCCGCTGTCCTCTGCCAGCCTGGAACTGCTCATGTTGTCACAGCACTGCATGCTGCAAGCTTGTGCCCGGGGTCATTTGCATCAGGGAGCGGGACCAGCGGCTTTGCTTGCGTGAGGCAATGTCAGCTCAGGTCCTGCTGGCTTTCAGAGGGAGCTGAGCACCCTGGCTGTCTCTCTCTGCCCCTGCAGTGCCATCTGCCAGCATGACCCGCCTGGCACGCTCCCGCACGGCATCCCTCACCAGTGCCAGCTCGGTGGATGGCACCCGCCCACGTGCCTGCACCCACTCGGAGAGCACCGAGGCCATGGGGCAGATCAACCACACCATGGAGGTATCGTGCTGAGGTCCACGCCAGCCGCCGACGTCTCCAGACCCATCTCCTATCCGTCAGCATCCCGCCAGCACCCACCCACCCCACGGACATCCTCCACGTCCACCCTCACTCCTTTGGGGTCGATTTTGTCGTCTTTGCCATTGGCCTCATCCCTTTGTCTGGTACCAGAGAAGGCAAAGGGCTTTGTTTCACTGCCTCCTGGCTCCAGCTCCTGGCTTCGCCCAGCAGTCACACATGGTTCTGCATTAGTCCTCAGCCTCCCTAGCATTGGTTTGACCCTTCCTTGGGAGGGTGGGTGGCAGGGGGACAGGGCCAGGATGGGGGAGCAGGGGCAGGATGGTGAGATAGGAACAGGGTGGTGGGATGAGGCAGGACACAGCAGGCTGTGAGCAGGACAGCAGGATGTGATGAGAACACAGGAGGTAGGTTGGTCAACCGATGGCTGGCCAAGCCAGATGGAGGCAGTGGCACTCCCTAGGAGGTCACTGGGCACTTCCTGGGGATGCAGCTCCCATTTCTCCCTGCCGGCCCTGCCTAGGGAGAGCTAGCATGGGATTCCCCAACACACCCAGGACCTGCTGCCCCAGAGTTGGCTGAGCATTGTGAGAAATCGCACCCCAAACTGTCCCCTCGCCCTGGTCATATACCCTGAGGGCTGCCCCAGGACAGGGGGAGAGGGCTCAGCCCTGTTCCAGAAACCATCGGGGCAGGAGGGTGGTGGGGGTGTGTGTCACCCTGCCTCTGCCCACACCCTGACCTGTAGTGGCACTTCCTCGGTCCCTTGTTGCAAGAAGGACCACCACCACCTGCCACCAAAAAGGTGCTGGGGGGAAGGGGACTGTGTGCCCTGGTTTGGTTGGTCCCTGCCACACTGACCGTTCTGCTCCCAGCCTTTGGGCTGAGGCTGCCAGGGCTCAGAGGACACTGGGTTTGGGGATGTTGCATGGCAAATCCCCCCTCCATTTTTGCCACAGCCTGTGGGTGTCACCGCAGTGGAGCCATTAGCAATAAGAGACACTCCCTTCCCCCTCCCCTCCCCCCCGTGCTGGGGAGCCCTCAGCACCCTCTGCCCCATAGGGTGCATCACCACAAGGTGCTGGCAGTGTGGGGTAATCCATGGGATGTGGGGAGCACCCCAGTGTCTGGCCTTGCTGTCAGGCTGGCTTTGCCCTGACCAGCCCAGCCCCACCACGGCCCCCCACAAATCCACACCCCCCACCCCCAGCATCCCGCCT